GGTGACATTATGCATTCATTCATCTTCCCAAAGGGTCTCAGGCTCAACGCGGAGGCCTACATCAAATGCCTTGAGGAGGTAGTGCTACATTAGGTGAAGAGGGTGGCTGCTGGAAGACCCTATATCTTCAACAGGACTCTGCACTGCGCCACACATGCAGGAGAACCCAGTCATGGTGGTCAGACAATTTCTGTGACCAGATCACTCCTTATATCTGGCCACTTGACTCCCCAAACTGCAACCCTCTTGATTATTATGTGTGGGGCACATTTGAGTGAGAGACCAACAAAACTCCTTGTAACACTAAAGAGGAACTGAAGGCAAGGATTATGGCAGCATTCACCAACTTAAACAAGGAGACTGTCCAAAAGAGTTGCAGGAGATTCCAAAGTTGTCTGGGGTCCATAAGTCAATGGTGATTTTATTGAATAAATTTACTTTTTAGTATTTAAAAATATTTTTGTGTAATTTTTGTAAATATATCTGTTAAAATTTTTGCATTATTTTGCCAGCAATTTATCCATTGCACCAGGCAGTTACTGTTCAGTGGACAATATATATATATATATATATATATATAATATCCCATGTCAAGAGCATGACTCAGAGTTTCATGCAAACATACAATCTTCAGGTGCAAATCAGTACAATTTAGGTTATCGACCAACTCCAATAACAAAAAAATATTGGATAATAATAAAACTAGATATACGAAAGTGCTAATATACAACAACCATAAAGTGAAACTAGAGTAGGTAGAATGAAAAAAAAACAACAAAGATAAAAGTAAGTTAAAACAATGCAAACTTATCATATGGTTCAACCCACCTTACAATAGTAATGTCCAAACTAATGTAGGTAGAATTTTTCTAAATTTAATTTGCAAACACTTCAGTCATCCTCCAGCACCCAAAAAGATTTTCCTAAAAATAATATTAAGGTAAGCTATAGTTGTACAAAAAACATTGATAATTATATATCACAACATAAAAATAATATATTAAGCAAGCACACAAACAAAACATTAAATAATAACCATACTAAAAGTCAATGCAACTGCCATAAAAACATAACCTGTCCACTAAATGGCCAGTGCATGATTGAAGGCATAATCTACAGAGCTAAGATCAATTCAGATGATGATGTTAAATATTACTATAGTTCCACTGAGAACAATTTGAAATTGCATTTTTACCATCACCAAATGACACCAAACAGTATTAAATACAAAAATTATGCAAAGTATTTTTGACAATTTTTTTTTTAAACTACTATAAAAACCTATCCATTAGCTGAGAGATAATTGCATAAGCTAAACCATACTATGAAAAGGGAGGCAGATGTAACTTGTGTTTGTTGGAGAAGCTAATTATATTAAAACACTTAAATAACCCGAACTTGCTGAACAGGAGAAGGCAAAATGTATACATAAAAACAAACACCTGCTCAAACACATTGACCCTGATTAAAATAGTTTCCAAAATAGATTTTATGAATATTAATGTAATATGTAACGCCTATTAATATTCAATGAAGCCATTATTAATAGAATTTTTTTATATATCTATACACATTTACAATTCCATATTATAGACCATGCTCGATTAATTTATGATGTGTATATATTTAATTTCACATTTGTAAGTGTAAGGCTAGGTTCCAAATACATTAGATATATAGTCTTAAAATATAATTAGTTTATCACATCAGACATTACATTAATAATGTATTATAAAGACTGTTTATGTAAAAAATGGGAGTTATCCCCCTTGATAGATAGCATGATTATGTAAATTTTTTTTTTAATTATTTAGTAAAAACTTTTGTAATTTTCCAACTTTTGAAATTAATAATTTGAATGATATAAATTATAAATACTTAGTATTATAATCTTATAGGCAAGAATAATAAAATAAAGTGTTTAATTTTAAACCAACGCCACAAGAATGCAAATTTCATAACACTCTAATGGTTGGTATGTTTGCACCTGAAGATTGCTATCAACATGGGATATTATGTACATTCATTAATATATACTTAATAGCTCTGTTACATAACATTGAGCACTATTTTTATAACACCTGAGAAAACATATGTACGTGCAAGTATATGTGCGTATACATGTTTTATCATACCATCACTTGATAAGATACCAGATGTGTTGAAACAAAATGGCTATTTTTGTAGTGATTTTATAACATATTTATGTTATAATTTTAAATTGATTATTTATATATATATATATATATATATATATATATATATATATATATATATATATACATACATCACTTAACTTTAAATATCAATTTTTTGTTGTTTTTTCCAACTTTGGAGTTTCTTGGTAATGTCCATTCTTTAAGGGTTCTGTTTTTTAAATATCATTTATATATATATATATATATATATATATATATATATATATATATATATATATATAGTAAATATTCCTTCAAACGATTTTAAAATTTATTTTAATTTTATATTTCTAATTTTGAATAAGATGTATCTTGAGATTGAAGTTGTAGATAAACTGTCCAGAGTTCATGTTTGTTCTTTTGTATTTGTTCAAGTACTTTTGACTTTCTTGGTCATTATCAAGGACCATATGTCATCAGTATAGTACACCTAATTCTGTTAACTACATGCTAGTGTTTTATAGAGAATTGAAGTTTAAAACTGGTCAAAGTGACATCATTTGTAACAGTGAGCAAGACTACACCAAAAAGAATGCATCAAATATTATGCATTTCTTATATACATTATTATTATTATTATTATTATATGCATATTAAGCATTTTATACATCTTTCCTGTAATGAATGATTTTTTCTTTTAAATATAGACTGTTTATATTGTATAGTAATATAATCAAGGATTTTGAATCCTTCCTTGCAGTGATTGTTATATAGTATCCACTAATATTTGTATTTTGATGTGTTGATTAATATGTGCAGAACAAACATGAACTTTGGACAGTTTATTCACAATTTCAATCCTCATATACAACATGTTATTCAAAAACTGGAAGAATACAATGAAAAATTAATACAGACCTTGTCTGTTGAATTTAATAAAACGTGTGCATGTATATAAGTAATTTTTCAAGATAAATATTACAAGTTTTAAGGTTTACTTATTTCTATTTGTTGTAGGAAATTGGTTGTGATGGTGATATTTCTGGAAAACGTTTGGATGTATGTGGAGTATGTGGGGGAAACGGGTCATCTTGTGTAAGAATTAATGGAGTTAAGGAACTTCAGCCACAACAAGGTTAAAAACAATTTATTGCCAAAATTGCTACATGATTTTTTTAAGTGTGCTTATAAAAAAAAATTTTTTTCTCTTCCATAGAAAATGAGTATTTATTTTAAAATTATTCTAAAAATTTTAATAAATAAGATTTATAAAGATTTATATAAATGGGAATCAGGCCAGAATTGATTTCTAAATGAACACTCACTTTTCCTGGAATTGTCAAAAATTTCAATATTAGCAGTAAGACTTTTAATTTTATTCTTTCTTCCACTGAACCAATTTTGTAAAGACTTCTGAGATAGTATTGTTTTGTTATAGGACAAAATAAATGAGTTTTATGTCAGGATTGAAAACATCTAACAGATTTGGACTCAGTGTGATGGTTTGTAATATTAACAAAATACTTCAGCAGAAATATTAGTGTTTTTATAAAGATTATGTAGATCAATGAGTTTTGATATATAAAATATCCTTGGAATATTGCTTGGTCCTCATTGGGCAAGATGCATCACTTACACTTGTCTGTGACTGGCCAGTTGGTTAGATGACTATATTTCAAAGATTCATGGTAGTGAAGTGGTATTTCTATCTTGCAAGAAGATATCAATACAACTCAATATAGAAAAGATACAAAATGCAATTTTTAGGAATTGAGTAAATTTTTGGATATTCATAATATACCATCCTGATATATTATTATTTTTTTTTTTCAAAATAATGTTTAAAATAATTTCATCCAGAAAACTATAAATTTTATTCACTTTGTTATCATACAGAAGAGTTTAGTATATTTTACTCCAGGTTGTCTTATGACCATATTACATTGAAACACTGGTTCTCATATGATCACAAAAGTTAAGCAACATCAAGCCTGGTCAGTACCTAGATGGGTGACTGCTTGGAAATACCAGGTGCTGTAAGCATAGATGTGTGGGTGGTGTAATGGATAACAGCTTGGAATTAGAAATTGGAGAGATGAGTTTCAATTCCAGTCAGGTTTGTTATATTTACTTACCTGCAAATACCTTTTGGGAAAGGTATGAATGCACCTCTTAACCCACCCACCCTGCCAGCTATACATAATTAGGATTTATATCAGTAAATCATTATCATCAAAAAATTCTTCAAATAATTACTGGCTTTAAATAACCTGAAAAAAGTTTGATAAGTTGTAAAAACAAATCGATCAATCAATCAATTTACTTTGTGATGAGTATTGACAATGTCAATTTTAAATTGTTGGCTCACATACTATTTATGGCGTTATTAGCAAACTACTTTTTACCAGCCACACTTAGTAGTGATTTATCACCTGCTTACTAAACAAGCATCAACCATCTTTTTTTTTTATTTCATCAAAGCAAAACAACCCTAACACTTGAACCCTATTTTACCAAAACAAAAACTAACCCTAATAATTGAACCCTATTTTACCAAAACAAAATCTATCCCTAACAACTGAACCCTATTTTACCAATACAAAGCTTAACCCGAACAAGTGAATTAAATTTCCTAATCAACAATGACTGAATTAATATCATGCTTGAATTAAAAAAAAAAAACTCACCTTGCAAGAAATTTAATTCAAGTCTTTCATTTAAAAAAAAAATTTCTTAATGTGATGATTTTCTTTCCACTGCTTTTCCTTTTCCTAGTAGTCAATCTATTTATTTGTTTTCACAATATAAGTGTTGTTAAAGGCTAATAAAATAATATGATACTTATCTATTGATATCTTTCAGATGTGATAGCCAATGTTCTCGAAATTCCTGCTTTTGCTTCAAATATTGTCATTCAGTTCAATTTCACAAATGAAGAAGAAGCATTTTTGAGTGAGTGATATCATCATTTTTATAAGTTTCTAGTAAAAGACAATTTATAATGAAGAAAGAGGGCTTGGAAAATTTGATACTCACAGGACAGAAGGAAACAATGCATAACCTACCTGATGAGCTTCAGTGAATGGATAGCAAAGCAGGGTTTGGGAGAGATGATGAAAAAGACAATTTATTAAGAGCTATAAAGGACAAGGAATTGTGAAGAAACCTGATTGCCAATGTCCTGAAGGGACATGGCATATAGATTAATAATCATTAAGAGATAAACCATGGATGTTACAGAACTTCTGTCAACATTATAAAGGGAAAGTTTCCAAAATTGGGGATTAAAAAAATAGGACAGGTTAACAGAACATGACACTTTCAAATCAAAGAAAGATTTTTCTTTTGGAATTAGAAACACTGAACAAGAAATTCCTTACTAACTTCCAGGAAATTACATGGATATGTAGCTGGTGTAATGGTTGCTTGGAATGAAGAATCAAAGATTCTGGTTTGTTACATTCACTTACACAAAAACACCTTTGGGAAAGTTATGAATCCATCTCCTTCCCCAAAGCTATGGGTTAAATAGTACAACTTGTATCTGCATTGTTATTCTCAAAAATATTGTTAATGAAACATTCACAAGCAAAAAAGACATATTTTTATAATCCAAAATATGTTTCAGATTTAAATAATACACAAAGGGTTGATAAGCTGTAAAAAACAGATCAATCAAAAATCTAAGAATTTTGTTTATTTTTATTATCTCCATTATTTACATTTTGAATAATGTCCTCATCTTTTTTGTTATTATCACAACACTTTGGCTGTTGTATCCTCTGGACTTATTCAGATGTCTGTCAATCGAAGTAACTTTCAAGGAATTTTGAACTGAGCTCTTTATTTAATCTATGGAGACAGCTGAAGAAGGTTGGAGGGAAAAAAAAAGCTGAAACGTTATGTTAATAACAATAAAGCTGAGCATATTAGTCCAAATGTGAATGATGATAATTCCTCATCCCAGAAATTTAAGAAGAATCTTTTTCTTTATATTTTCACTTTTCTACTCTCTTGCTTGAGTAAGAATTATTCTATAGACAACAGGTCAGGTTGTTCCATTTGATTTTGAGAGAAGAATGCAGCTCTGTCAGTTTTCTTTTTCACCTCATTTGCATATGTTTTTTTTATATACTGAACTAGTCTTATGAGTGTCTTAACCACATTCCAGACTTGGTGAGAATGAGAAATTCCTTGATTGTATTTCTACATTGAGATTGTAGATTTATATAGTATTAAAACTACCATTGTTTATCCATTTTTTATTGGCTTTGGATTATAGCTACAAGCAACCAGAAGATGGTGGCTTAGCCATCTTGCTGATGTTCAAACTATGTTCCATTTATAAGGCTATAACCAGGTAATTTAAAAATTGCAACTTTTATTACCTCCATGTCATAACCAACCTAAAAAAAAGAGAATGTACTCATCAAAATCTGCTGCTATGTGGATAGGAAAATTCAAAGTGGCAAGAGGTGAACAAGATGTGCAATGAGAAATGAATTACAATCTTCTCTCAGGAACCCAAGAAGAAAAGCTCCCCCCCCTCACTTCACTGTTTAAGAACAACAATTCTAGGACATTTAAAACAAATATTTTATAGTAAATAAAATGTGTTTAATATGAAAATTGGTATTTTTGTCTGAATTTCTGGGATGGGGGCATTATCATTTAGACTGTTCTTGTCTAGGGCTATTGCCTCTAGACCTTATTTTTAGTACTGTTCAGTTATTGTTTGCTCTGTTTCCACTGAGTCCAAGTACACATTGCCCAGTCCAGGGATTGAACTCACAATTACTATGTAACCAAATTCACAAACCAATGCTTTAATCTACTAGTATATGGGACAATTCCCCATGGAGCTTTAAACCTAACATACCTGCTGATGAATTCTGGTCATTGTCATGCTTGACTGAACTCACTGAATAATGAAAATTGGTACAATGATTAAATTTTTTTTTTTTTTTTTTAACAGTGAGGGTCACCTTGTACATAGGCCTGGGGGCCATGTGTGGTAGAGGGTTATGTTAAGAAGTAGTTTATATGGATAGGAGGGTAAGATAATGGTTGACTCTAGGCTTGAACAGGTTAAGATTGTAGTGATCAGAAAAATATCCTCTTGAGAGTCTGTTCCAGAGTGGTTTGCAGAAAGAAGTTGTTTGAGTGGAACTGACTTTTTGTTGGTGGTTTGCTACTATGTAAGTGGCATGGTGGCTCCTAGCCATGAAAGTTAGACCTGGCAGAACCAAGAAATGTAATTCATCCAAGCACTTTCCATAATGTATAAGGAATAATTCCTCTATTTACATGTAGACATATATTGTCCTCATCTTTGTTGTTGTTATCATAATTTTTCAGCCGTTGTTCCCTCCAGTCTTCAAGTGCTTTTTGAGCTGACTAATTTCAGAGATTTTCAAACTGGACCCTTTATTTGAGTGGGGTAGATTGTTCTCATTCAGCTGACCAGGTCTCTTCAAGGCTTAAACTTAATCTGCCTACTGATGAATCTACTGCGGTTGCTTGTCACACTTGACTTCACTATCTGAGGCTTATGTTTTCTGCTGGTGTAGCTGGTGCTGCTATTTCTTTATTAACAGCTACCATATCATGAGGTCTTCAGAGCTTACTATATGCTCTGATTCTTACAGACGTCTAACTCTGCAATGTTCTTCACTGTCTAGTATTTTTTTTCCATAATTACATAGAGGCTGATGACTATTCTTTTCCCTTCATATGTGATCAGCCATGTCTGATTTCATCATATCACTCCTAATTGCAGATTCTCATTGTTTCTTCAGCCTTACTTTTAGGTAGCAGTTAGTTTCACCTTTATATTCTTTGCCACAGCTGCAAGGGATGGAATAAACAGACAGTTCTTGGTCATGGTCTCCTCCATGTTAGGATTGGTGTTGCTTAAAGTGAACTTTAATATTAACCTGAGAAGTTAAAATTTAAAAACATTTAAAGCAAAACCTGAAATGACAAATGATACTCAAGATTCCTATAAAAATAGGAAAGAAAAATTTTGTTCACCAAACATTAAATCTTACACTCATGTTATTTAAATGCAAAAAATGGCTTAAATGTAAAATGAATTATTTAAATGTTTCAGAATTGTGTCAAGTATGGAATTTTTCAGTGTTATTAACGTGTATATATATATATATATATATATATATATATATATACATACATATATATATGCTATCTGAATTTTACCAAAAACAAAAAAATTTCCATGCCTGAAGATGACTGAATGTACAGTCAAAAGTACTTGTGTATTAAAGAAAGACCATATACAGCTTATAATTTTTAAAAACAAGGATCATAACATTCATCGAGTGATTTGAAGGTTAATGCACCTTTAAAATTTTGTTTGCGAAGTGATTTCGCCATTTTATATTATTAACTTTACTAATCTATATTTTGTATGAATGATTCATTGTAGAATTGGATTACTGGTTCCTTTTAAGGCCTTCCAATTCTCTTTCACTCTCAGTGATGAGGTAGAAGGCATTGTCAAAATGCAAGATAAATAACACAAACAGAATTAATAAAGTTTGCAATGAAAGCAAAAGGGTCAAAAAAAGATGAAACCACAACAATTATGCAAGCAAGCAATATAGTTAAAGCAAATCAAACAGGTAAGAATGCAAAAGAATTCACAAATGAGTTGGTGTTTGTACATAAAAGCAATGTCGGACAAGTGACTGCTGTAGATCTTTCTAGTAGTTAAGACAGATCTGGACTGAGTCATGTCAAAATGCAAACCATCCCATTTTATTGGCTAAGAAAAATATCCCAGCATGCATTTTTGTGTATTTCTGACTATAAGAGGGGATAGAGGAAAACTTATGCAATCATTCCCCACCCACTTTGAGAAATCAACACCCACTATCCCCTTATGTATTAGTGACATTATCACCTTGCTTGGAGTGAATTGATTAAAAAAAACTTCATGTTTATAAATTAATTGATTTCATAATGAGTTTTAATAGTTTCCAAATTATGTTTTGTTTTTTTGTTTTAGTGCTTTGGTCTAAAGATGATATTGCTATTCTTGACCCTCACTTAAATACTACAAAGACCCTACAGAATCCTGTTCAGTTTGCTAAAGCACATTGGGATTATGATACTAAGTGGTTTCTTGTCTCAGATGGACCCATTGGCCAGCCTGTCAAAATTAAGGTAAGTATTTTTTAAAACATCAATTCATATCAACATAAAGTCTGCCAAAGGCAACTAATAAGCTGTCAAGTTATTTTCTCTTTATGTAACTTATATCACAAATATTTGCAAGTAAATAAACAAGGGGAATTATTCTGTAATTAAACAAACTCCAACTACATTTAAAATTGAAAGTTAGCTTTACTTGAAGTTTTACTAATCCTTAATCAGCAGGAGTCTAGTATTAAGTTGTTTTTTTAGATACAAACTTGCAATTGCAAATAATTTATTTTTTTGTAATAAAATGTGAAATCAATTGAAAAGGTTAATAATTTATGCAGAAAATAAGGTTTATTTTGTAAAATCCTTTATTTCTATAAACAAAATATATCAAAATATGTAAATATTTTTTACAATTTATTTTATAAAAAAATATTATTTTATGCAACAATTTGTAATATTTTCATTTCTTTTCATCACTCAGTATTGATATAATTTCCTTTTGCAACAATCATACAAAAATTGGATCTTCATTATTGGGGCAAGCATAATCACAGCCCATTATTATATGGAAAAAGTAGACTAAAATTTGCTTTATTCTTCAAGTTTTAATGGTATTACCCTAACAAAAAATATTGCAATGATGTTCTGTTTTTACTCTGTTACAGTAGCAAGCACATCCAAACCTACAAATTTAATCCTTATAATAATAGAAGAAATCAAAACAAGGAAATCTTTGTCCAAAGTATATTTCTCTGTTATCTGCAGGGACAGCTAGCCATGTGGAGTATGGTGCTACAAATACCTTGATATTAGGCAATTGTTCATCAGAACAGCATCTCTAAGAACTACCAAAGAATTTGGGTTCTTCACTACTAGTCAGATACAGCAACCAGAAAACTGCCAACCTGGTACCCTCATAATGAAAAATTGTAGCCACTGATCAGTCAGATCAGTCAAATCATTATGGTCATAGAATAAAGAATTTGTAAACCATATGCTGAACAGGAAGCAAGGGATAAACCTTTCAACAACTGTTTCTTTTAAAACTTTGGCTGTATTATTATTATTACAACAAATATATACATCAAAGAAGGGAAACTCTTTAAAAACACCGAGATACAGATAAAACAAAAGACTATTTGGCATATGTGGATAGTCAAAAGGATGACAATATTTCATGTCATATTTCAATGTTTCGTAATTATACACCTCAGTATATCAACATTTTAAAATATAATTTTAAGCTTGTAGAAGTGCTTTAATTTTTGGGATTTTATAGAATTTATCATTTTATATTTTTCAGGTTATGGTTGGAGGAAACACAACATCGAGATCTTTAATTTATAATTATTCACTGCCCATTGTTCCAGGTCAGTTATTCATTTGATTATTGATTTTTTTAATGTCCATTTTCATCATAACACATATTTGGGTCATTATACTCTTCAGCCTTCTTCAGATGCCTGTTGTATTCATTAATGTTTGAAGAATTATCATTATTATAGACTGATTGATTTTGACTAATATCCTCATCTTGGTTGTTAGTCACAACATTTTGGCCATTGTACTCTTCAGCCTTCTTCAGATGCCTGTTGTATTCATTAATGTTTGAAGAATTATCATTATTATAAACTGATTGATTTTGACTAATATCCTCATCTTGGTTGTTAGTCACAACATTTTGGCCATTGTACTCTTCAGCCTTCTTCAGATGCCTGTTGTATTCATTAATGTTTGAAGAATTATCATTATTATAAACTGATTGATTTTGACTAATATCCTCCTCTTGATTGTTAGTCACAACATTTTGGCCATTGTACTCTTCAGCCTTCTTCAGATGCCTGTTGTATTCATTAACCTTTGAGGAATTATCATTATTATACACTGATTGATTTTGACTAATATCCTCATCTTGGTTGTTAGTCACATTTTGACCATTGTGCATTTCAGCCATCTTCAGATGCCTCTTGTATTTATTAATGTCTTAATTGATAATCCTGGTGGAGCTAGCTTTATATCTTTATACTTGTAAAGGAGTATCAGTTGGTTTGACAGTCAGGGCCAATGTTTTCCAAAACACCTTCATTGGTACATCACATCCACAAACTACCCACTACCAATTCAATAATTTCTCTCTGAATTTCTAGGATGAGAATACTTTCAGACCCATGTCCTCATCATCTTTTTTTTTTATTATTATTACAATGTTTCAGCTGTTATGCCCTCTGGTCTTCTTCTGGTCTCAGTTGGTGTCCTTTAAGGAGTTTTGAACTGAACACTTTATTTAATCAACAGGGGTAAATTGTTTTCATTCCACTATGTCTCAGCATGTCTTAGTACTTCTCTGTTATAGTCTGTCTTTTCCCACTGAGTCTATGCTATCATGCCTACAGTCATATCATGCTGAAAACATTGGTTTTCATTTGATCACATTTAGTCAGTACTTATATGTGGGACTGCTTGGGAAGTAAATCTACTGTAAGCAAGCTCCTACAATCTGAAATTTGTTTGACTCTAAATAACCCACAAATGGTTGGTAAACCATAAAAAAAGGCAAATCAATCTGCACTAATGGCTGGCTGCTCATATCTAATCATCTCTGTCTGCTAGGGTGGCTAGCCAGTCCCTATTGCAGACGCTTGCTCAGGCATGTTTTGTGTTTGTTCAACACCCACAGAGCCCACATGTGGTTTATACTGCAACTATGCTGAGTGAACTTTAGCTACAGTTTCTGGGTGAGAACACATTATTTGGCATAATCAACAGTCTGAACAAGACCAGTACACTCAAACCCTCAGTCATGATGACTTGCGACTTTGTGCTAGTACAACCATCAATGAATCCTAAATGGTTCCATCTACCTAACTTCACTCACAAGGCTTGGGTCAACCCATGGTATGATTTTCAGGTACTTTCCAAAGATGCTGGGATCACCTCTACAGGCTGATGACATCAAGAAGTCACATTCCTGACAAATCAACCATGTTGAGATTCAAACCCAGGTCTCATGGTTGACAAGCAAAGAAAGAAATAATCTTCAAACAAATCCCTACAAATTTAAATAAAATTTTATTATCGAGTATTTGTTTTCCTTCAAGTTGAAAGAAATGAATTACAAAGATCCTCACAAAACAAAGATATTTTGTTTTCTACAACACAACAGAAATATTTGTATTAGTATGATTGGAAAATCTGAATGTGTCTACTTAACAAGAGTCACATATTTATGTTGTTTTAAGTATGCATGTAATTTTCCAGTAGGCATCAGTGAGCAAATGAGAGCTGTGTTATTACTACTAATAATATTTTGTTTATATAACTCTTACATGTGCTAGCTTAATTTACTTTAAAATTGCAAGTCTATTGCAAGAAGTTAGCCAATAAATGTGAAATGTTGAATAATTAATTATACAACAAGTGTGAGTAGTCAGTTTGCACATGACGACAACCACCCTGGTTAAAGGTTTACCAAAAAACGGAAAATTGGCTTTGTGAATTGATGTGACAATATTTATAACAGGATATAGGCTCTAGGAAGCTAAAAGTTAGATTTACTAAACTCAGAATTTTATTGGGTAATATTTTTCCCAATTTTTAATTATCTATTTTTAGGAGGAAAAATATTGTTAATCATCTTCTGGAGTGACCTTTCACATTTTGTTGCAGACAATACATGTGAGGACGTCGAAAATTTCAAACCTTAAGAGCATTTGAGATAACATTGCTGATTGCTTAATAAATGCTAATGTGTAAATTCAAATCTGGAGCCCCCTTTATACACAAAAACAAGTCAACATCTGTGTGAGCCAATGTTGATACAGAATTGAGACTTTTGGTGATATTACTTAAATCTATTGAATTTTTCTCCAATTTTGAACAGATTTTTACACATTCTTTTACTCCTCAGCCACATGCCCATAAAAAAGTGCTGATAATACTGTAAATACTTAGACATGTTTCAAAATGATGCTGAACAAGGATGCTAACAGCCATCATAACAAACACTGTCCCTGACCACTCAATGTACCACATTCCTTCCATAATTCAACTCTTTACAATTTCAATGTGTTTCATTAGATGAGAGATGGAGTTTATAGACATTCACTCTTAAAATCTTTCAATAGCAGATTCCACAGAAATTACAAACATTTCAAGTTTGGAACTGTACACAATCTCAAATATTTATTATTATTATCTATAAACTATAATATTAATATTTATATTCAAAGTAGCCAGATTGAACTAGTAAGCCAAGAGCTATTAATCTTGATTTTAATACTAGTGACTTTGGGCAGCTAACTTTAAAATAAACAGGGATAACTTAGGTTACCAATAAAAAATATAATTCAGAATTTGATAATGTCAAACTTATAAATGTAACCCAATCTAGCAACCCTGTTCAGATGTCTTAGAACCTAAGAATCAGAATGTCCATGAAAGCAGACTTCCTAAGTTCAAGATTTTATGCCAAATTTCTAATTTTATCTATCCTGAATTAAAAGGTGAAGTACCACAGAGAACAAAAAGAGGTCAAGGGTTGCATACATTTTTTGCAACAATGTAATGCTAGAAAAAATGGCTTACCTCTAGGATGAAAATGGATTCAAATGTGTCTTGCATTCCAAAAGGAAAAATGGCGACTTTCACAGGTCACACATTTAAAATAGATCCCAAAGGTGGATCCCAGAGTTGGATCCTCTCTTGCAAGAGTCTCTTTTCACATCTGTAAATTTTGGCTATAAATGAGGATATAAAACTGTGCATAACGAGGTGACAGGCAGAATGGTAACTGCAGTAGCGAACAAGAGACATGTGTTGCAGTCAGTAGAGGATTTGACTAAAGGACACGGATTGCAAGAATTGATTACAAACCAGATGAAAATACAATTTTACAAACTTTACTCTAGAATTCTATATTGATATTCCACACTAATTAAATAAACTGAATCACCGGCAAAAAAAATAGTCAAAGATTTTCCATGCAATAATCATTCCAGAACAAGCGTGAAGAATTGAAAAAGGATTTTTTTTATTATTAATTTAGAAGTGTGTGTGTGGGGGGGGGTGTTTATGACACAGAAACAGTACCAGAATAATCCTTGAATTTTGCAGTTAATGGCACTTAGTTTTTTCTTTTACGTTGTGTCCTGAAACTGTGCTTACATCATTGATATCTGCATATTTTTTTTACAAAGATTTTTTGTCATTAAAGTGCATACATATTTATACATTTTTAATTAAAGAACAAAAATTTACATAAAATTATAAATAATATGAATAGTGGTAATTCCTCATCACAGAAATTGTATTTGTTACTTATGAAGTAACTTAAAATTGTTCATACTATAAAACCATTTTCATAATTTCTGTTTTTTCCAATCCAATGTCATTTATCTTGAAAATTCTGTAGATGTATTAATTTCATCCATTTTCTTTTTGTTTTTCCAGTCCAAAACAACTGTCCTACTCATTGCTATAATAATGGGAGACTTTCTAATTGCTCGTGCTTATGTTCAAATAACACTGGAGGTAAAAAAAAATTTTCTCTTTTACCTAGATTTGATTTTTTGCCCAGAATATTGAGCATTGGTGTTAATTTCAAATATTTTATCTCATTTAATGATCTTCTAATGATAGGGAGGCCACAGTGGAGTAATGGATAGTGGCTTGGATTGAGAAATCGGAGAGCCGAGTTCAAATTCCAGTTGAATCAATTACATCCACTTACATGCTAACACCCTTGGGAAAGGTATGAATCCTCTTCTTCTCCCCCCAGCTATGGGTAAATAGCAGGACAGACCAGGTTCTATAGCCTTGGATAGCAATTGGTCTATCACAAAAAGAAATGGCAACCTACTGTGGGGAAAAAAATCAGCCTTGTCAGTCATGTATTGAAAGATACATGATTGTCCAAGTGTGTATCATGCATGTCACATAAAACTGACTGAATGATAAAATTGTGGATTTTTAAAGTTTAGCACTTTATTATTTTTCTGAACCAATTCTAAATAGAAAAAAATGTTCAAATTTAGTAAATATTTATTTTCAGCTTGGTTAAATTGAAATTACCAACTTTGTTTTTAGCTTCACTTTTTTTTTACTGCTTTTTTGAAAAGAATCCTGTTTAATCATTGTTATTACCATTGGCTTGACTTTATGGATGAAGATTCAGGAGTAGATTTCATATCTATTAAAGTTTGGATGGCAGTGCCCACACAATGCAAGCAAATTCTTTCAAAGGTGTTTACATGGCCTTGTGGATCAAGTGTTTTTATCCTTACAGCCCATTTCCGACAGATGAAACATTGCAAACCTATTGCTACTCTATCACTCTTTCTGTAGCTCAGACCAGACACCAAGTTCATTCTCAGGGTGCAGCTTCTTCCA